CCAGTGAATGGAAAATCTCTGTCTCTCCCTCTCTTTCTGTAACTCTGCCTTTCAAATAAATAAATACATTTTTAAAGAAAAGAAAAGGAATGATTGTTTAAAAGTACTGATACATGCCATAATGTGAATGAACACTGAAAATGTCATGCTAACTGAAAGAAACCAGTCTCAATGAACCACTGGCATGCAATTCTATTTATAGAAATGTCCAGAATAGGCAAATACATAAAATCAGAAAGGACACCATTAGAGGCCTGGAGCTGGAGGACTGGGAGGAAGACCTGGAAAATGCCTGCTAAGGGACCTGGGGTGAAACACACTGAACTTAAGATTGTGATGTCAGGGCTGGCACTGTGGCGTAGTGGGTAAAGCCGCCACCTGCAGTACCAGCATCCCTTATGGGCACGAGTTCGAGTCCCAGCTGTTCCACTTCCAATCCAGCTCTCTGCTATGGCCTGGGACAGCAGTAGAAAATGGCCCAAGTTCTTGGGCCCATGCACCCGTGTGGGAGACCCAGAAGTAGCTCCTGGCCTCTGGCTTCAAATTGGCACAGCTCTGGCCGTTGCGGCCAACTGGGGAGTGAACCAGCGGATGGAAGACCTCTCTCTCTCTCTGAAAACCCATGAACTCTATTTTATAGGTCTGAATTTTATGGACTACTAGTTAAACTCTTGATAAAGTTGCTTCAAAAATATAAAGATCATAATGACTATGAGAAGGAATCACTTTCAGAAGGCACACATGTGCAGTGAGGGGAAGGATGTGTTCAGAAACAAACCCACACGTCCACAGATTCCTGTTAGTGAGGATCTCAGTCCAGAGGTAGGAAAGGGGAATCGAGAAAACCCTGAGTGTGGGAACTTTCCTGGAGAATCTTGATATGATTACCTTCCCTTGGAAAAAAAGGGAAGAGATATCATATGGGCTATGAAATCATGATTTGTTTAAAATGTAAAATGAATCTGACTGTCCACATTCAACATCTTTTGTTTAAAATATGCAATGAAATCAGGGTAAGTGGGTAATAAAAATATCTGATGAGAAAAAGTTAAGCCAACATCTATCCTATGCAGCCAATCCATAGCCAAGAGTAGCACCAAGGCCTGTACACAAGCAGTCTGAGCTGCTGTACTTTAACAGCCAAAACTGGAAAGGATCCAAATGTCCGTCAACAGGTGAATGATAAACAGACTGTACAGACGCGGTGTACCCATGCCGTGGAATGTTATTCAGCAATAAAAAGGAATGAACCAACACACACTGCAAGACAGATGAATAAAAAAAAAAATTATGCTGAGTGAAAGAAGACAGGTAAGAGTATACACTGTATGATTCCACTTCTATAAAACTCAAAAAATGCAGACCGGCCCTTAGCGCCAGAGCACTGCAGTGGAAGGGTGGTGAACCACAAAGGGGCTTGGGTAAACTCCAGGGGTGATGGATACTCTACTGACTGCATGGACTGTTTACAGACGTAAATATCCAATTACCTACTTCAGATATGTGCCGCTTACTGTGTGTCAATTATGGCCCCATGAAGCTGTTTTAAAAATATGACTCCAAGGTGAAGAAAGATATCAGGCACAGGCCTCTAACACCACCCCCACTCATGCCAGGTGCACGGGTGAACCAGGGGCCTGATCCCCAGGCCTGCTTGATCTGAGCTCTGGACCAGGGCTTTGCACAAGCTCCCAGTGTGTACTGTACGAGGGCAGTCAGAGCAGCCTGCCTCTGCCCTCCGAGTCCTCGCCGCCCCTCCTCAACCGTACTGCCATGGGTAAGCAGCAGCTCAGCGACACTGCTGCGTACTTGGGAAACTCCAGCTTCTTCCCACCCCCACCCTGGGAAAGACCTCAAATTCAACCATGCTAAGAAAAAAGACAGCACAAACAGATGACTTTACTGTGTGTACAGTTCTTCCGGAAGAAATGTCCCACCAGAGTCAGGCTGTGTTTTGTTTCTTTCTGGTCTTCATTAACACATGTTTGCCTCTTTTCTCTAGTGCAATGAGACTAGAAAAGACTTGGCTATCACCGAAGGTCACGCTGTCTGTTAGAGTAGACTCAGCTGCATGGAACCAAAAAACCAGTCGTTTACATGCAAGGATTCATCCTCTTCACTTTATTAAGAACTCGGAGTAAACAGTCGGGACTGTTCTGGCAGCTCCATGAAGTCATCAGGGTCTTGGCCTTCTCCTGTCTCCTGCAGCATGTGACTGCCATCCTCCAGGTCACATGATGCCTGCTGAAGATCTCTGATCTGAGCAGCAGGAGGGAGGAGGCCGGGGAGGCTAAGGGAGGGCCCTGATGCCCTGGAAGATAAAAGGCAGCTTGCCAGGCAAGAGAGGCGGGTCCTCTCTCCACCAGGAGGGCAGGGGCTGGGCTGCATGCAGTCAGAGGGATGACGGCCAGTGGCGCCTGTTCCGGGACAGCACCTGGGCTGTCATGCACCTGGAGGGTGTGCCCTAAAAGCCTTGCTCACCACAGCAGGCATGCGGCCTTTGGGTGTAAAGACCAGACAACTGAGTATGGTGCTGAGGTCTTTCATTCCCAAAAAGCTGCTGTTCTGTTTCGGCCTCACCCCTTGGGGACTGCATTACAAATGCAGGCTGGACCTCTCCTCCTTGGGATACCCTGCTGATGCTCTGCCCCAGGACCATGCATCTCAGTGTTTCTGAGCAGGCTGAAGGGGTGGGGCGGAGCAAGAAGTGTTTTCTGTCCCTGGACACAGACCTGAAACGTGGTAATGTCTCCACTGATGCCTAAGGGTGAGTGTGTCATCCTCAGGTGAGCAGAGGGAACCTGTACGAGGTCAGCTCCACAGTTTGGGAGCACTGGAATCAGACAGTGAGAGGCACAGGGTAGGTCATCAAGGGGGCCTGCCTTCAATAGACCGGCTCTCCTGGCCTCCATGGGCCACGACTGCCCTAGCCGGTTCTCTGGCTCCCCAAGCCTTGCGTTACTGGGAGGCAGCAGGCTCCAGGAGAGGCCAGAGCCCTTGGCTGAGCATAGCCTGGGGGAATGGGCAGCCCACTCTGCAGAGTCAACACTGACTTCTAGGCCTGCTGCCCAGGTGCCGTAGGTAACCACAATCACTGGAGCAATGTATCTTGTTTGTTCAGAATATACTCAGAGATGGAGCTAATGGATATAAACTAAGTCCCCCTGCTGCCCACACCAGAGATGCTTCTCAGGGATTATATACACTTTCTGGTTGAGTTTCACTTATAAATAACTTAATTAATAATAACAACCACTCCAGGCTGGCACTGTGGTATAGTGGGTTAAGCTGCCACCTGCAAGGCCAGCATCCCAAATGGGCACCAGCTCCAGTCCAGGCTGCTCCACTTCTGATCCAGCTCCCTGATAATTTTCCTGGTAAAGCAGCAGAACAAGGCCCAAGTACTTGGGCCCCTGCACCCACACGGAAGGCCCAAATGAAGTTCCTTGCTCCTGGCTTTCGCCTGGCTCAGCCCCAGCCATTGCATCCATTTGAGGAGTGAATTAGTGGATGGAAGATCTCTGTCTCTGTCTCTCTCTCTTTCTGTAACTCTGCCTTTCAAATAAATAAATCTTTTTTAAAAATACACTGATAAAAAAATGCACCTTACATCAAAATTAGAAATGCAAAACTAAAACAAAAAAATGAAAAAAGATCAATTCTTCCTGAATGCAGTTTTTGAGATGACCACCAGGTGTCAGGGTTATCAATCGTATTCCCCCCCATGACGCCTGGAAAGTTACAAGCGGAAAGGGCCTGGCTAGGAAGGAGAGGGCGATTCCTCCCCACACAGGATTCCTTAGCTCTTTGGCCTACGGTCTGTCTAGTTAGGGTTGGGGGGAGGACACAGGGAGGCTTCAGGGAGAACACTCTAAGGGCACAGATTTCGCACCACTGAATTTCGCATGCAAAGTACAAAAATGGCCACGCAGCGTGGTTCTCCTGCAGCTGCTGTACGACCACCTTTGGAAGTCTCTCCTCTCCTCAGCCAGGAGACCAGAGGGATGGATAACAGGAGAGAAGGGTGCACAGGAGGAGGAGGATTCGGTCACAGCTATGCCTGCTTTAAAAGAGGAAAGCCAACACGTATGCGAGAAGTCTTCCTATTTAACCTTTAACACCCTCATCTCTTACTCACTTCCTGTTTGACTCCTCACATGGACTTCCTTTAGAGGCCTGACCCTGCTGTGGTCTGGAGCTGCTGGCCTGGAAACCACAGCGCTCCCTGCTTGAGAGCAGAGGTTGGGGCGTCTCCCTTCCCCACGTTCGGGCTGTCATCCAGGGTGGTTACACAGTTCTTCCTCCAGGGCCCAGGCCCAGGCAGCTGTGCTGCTCCAGCTGCTGGCACCACACACCCAGCTCCTGTGGAGTCAACACACTAGAAGCCTCCAGGTGATACCCGTGGCAAGCCTCATCCTGTATCTTCTTGGATCACCCGCATCCTTCCCAGTAGAAAGGCGGCTGGTGACGTGCTTTCAACACAGCCTTGGGCATGCAGGGAACAGTGACCCCGGCTCCAGCATGAGCAGATGTCGACCCTGGGGTGGCATAGCTGGAGAGTCCTCATAGCATGGCCCCATTGGCACTGGCCCAGGCCTCCCCCTGCCCCATGCTCCATTCCAGAGTCAGGGCACTAGGGAAAGGATGTGGCAGGCCTTCCCGCACGGAACTTCACTATGAAGGAGGATGCCAAGCCTGTGCCTGTGGAAGGCCACAGCAGGTGGTGCGAGGAGCAGAGGCAAGGAAAGCACTCAACACTTCCTGGGCAGTGTTACATTTCCATTCTGCAGGGACTTGTGATTTCCATGACTTCCAACAGGCACGTTAAGGCAGCTTTTTTTTTATGCGTTGAATGACCACATCTGCTAAACTGGCACATCCTATATAGGCCACATGAAGCAATAATAATTATTTTAGTCATGTACACTTGAAATGCTATAGACATAATTTAAAATGATACACCCATGGTGCCACACACATAATAAAAACACCAGTTACTATTAAAACATAGGCAGTATTCATATTCAAGTATGCATTCAAATATGACCAATCATTATACTTGATGTTTCAAACATAATGTACAAGCTGAATGCTGCTTCATATAAACATAAAAGGGGATAAAGCAGTGTTTACATTGCCACGACATGAATTTTCCATGACTAAGATAGTAAATGTTGCTTTGATGTAGCCAACACAGGTATGGACTCCAAGCTGCTGGCTGTTGGTGCTTTCCTCCATTATCCTATTATGTCCAAGAGGCACAGGACAGACGACTCTCTCATGATGCCCATATTACAGCCCTGCTCATCTAGTGGCAGCGCTCGCCCTGATGTGGGTCAGACTGAGCCAAGAGCAGATCTCTTCTGGGTTCATCCACCTCAAGGAGTCCAGGCAAATGATGCACCTCCCCTGAGGGCACTGAAGTCATTGTCTGGTGACCTCTGGATAATCCTAGACGTGCTGGGCTCCCGGGACGTCAAAGAGCATCACATATCCCTGTGAAGTCTTGCTGTTGGCACGAGTCCTACTTCTTAGACCAAGTAAGTGGCAAGGGTGTCACAAGGCCAGGAAAGACTTCACGAGTTAATGCATATTTTGAGATCTCCCGGCTTCTAGGCCATCCAGAAAAGCAGCAGTCGATGGGGTGATGAAGGGCACCCCCACCATCTCACTGAATCAGATACCTGCTTGTTCCCACCACCTCCTGGTTAATCACGCTTTGGGTAGGTGAGTCAGCGAGGAGGTGGGCGGTTCTGTTTGGCTTTGCCATGTGTATGGTATCCTAATGACAATGACTCCTCCTCTACTTAATTCCTCTTCCACAAGAGGTCCGCCTCCCAGCCCAGCAGTCAGCTGGGGCAAAAACCTGATTCAGAACTCCATCAACACCAGGAGCTGCTTCCCTTCTAGAATTCAGAAAGGAAGCAAAGCCATCATCAATGTGAACACACAGAAAGAAAAGACTTCCCGACACCCCCTCCCCCCAGAGCCTGGGCGCAGACAGGTCCCGGACCCTAATTATGCCTCCCATAGGACAGCCTTCCCTACATGTGGCCACGCAGCTTCCCCAGCAGTGACAAATAGCTGTGCCTGTCGAAACTCCAGAGACTCTCCTCATCAGGCCTCAGCCCGAGATTCAGGGACGGCGAAGGGCAGGAGGAAAGTAAACAGACTACACCAATAGAAGCCAGAGAGAACTGGTTCTCCTGCTCTTCGGACGGTTCATGACACTTCAATTATGTTCAACACAATATAGCTGGATTATTTTTAACCTTATAGAGCCTCCTGGCCTTGCCAGGGAAGTATCAGTTGGTGGAGCTGAAGGACAGCTAGAGGCGGAGATCAGGAAAACTCCCTAGTAGAAACGAGGCTGGAAATGGCTCTACCACAGCACTGGGTGGGGACCATGTGGCCCCCTTACTCAAGGAACCTCAAGTGTGGGACATTCTGGGTGTGGTCTGTCATTTCCTTCTCGGAGTAACTTAGCTCATCTCCTTCACTCAGTTTCACTGTCACTTCAGCAAATAGCAGAGGGAGCCCTCAGTTCTGACTTCTCCAGCAGCTGTACTGCCATGATTACCAGATCATACCGGAACAGTTCAAGATAATCCTGCCCAAAGTCAACACGAGGAGGTTCTCAGTGCACAGTCTTGGACAACTTGGCTCGGTGTCTAAACTAACTGATCTCTGATTTTAACAGCTTGGGGGTGGGGGGAGTCTCTTTGTTCTACTTTTCTTCTCCTCTCTATGCTATGAAAATCTTCTAAAATTTGTCAAGGTAGGGGCTGGCATTGTGGTGTAATAGGTTAAGCCTCCACTTTTGGCGCCAGCATCCCATATCGGCACTGGTTCAAATCCCAGCTGCACTACTTCCCATCCAACTCCCTGCTAATGGCCTAGGAAAGCAGTGGAAGATGGCCCAAGTGCCTAGGCCCCTGCACCCACGTGGGAGACTCAGATGAAGCTCCTGGCTCCTGGCTTCAGATCGGCCCAGCTCCAGCCACTGGAGCCGTTTGGGAAGTGAACCAGCAGATGGAAGACTTCTCTCTCTCTCTGTCTCTCCCTCTCTCTGTAACTCTGCCTCTCAAATAAACAAACAGATCTTTAAAAAACAAACAATAACAACAAAAAACCACAAGTTACAAAGGTTTACCAAGACCTCACAGTGAAAACAATGTATCCAAAGTTTTTCCAATTATGCTTCAGAGTTTAGGTGCACAGAGTATTGCAACCCCAGTACCAAGCAGATTTGTTTCATGATATGATCATAAGCTGTATTCCTTTTTGCCCTGGAATGTTTTATTTTTTCTATTTCTTCTTGAACTATGGTCTATGCTTTTCAGAGACACAGACATGAGAAATAGTTTATTTCCCTCTTAATTCTATCATCAGAAATATAACAGTGAAAGTCTGACTGCAGATGGCAATTGACAGAAGACAGGAGTGGTGGAGACCGTGGCAAAGTGGACGGTGCGTAACCTGTACAAGGCAGAAGCCATACTTAATGGCAACTGTTTGTCTTACACAAGGGTACACCCTGGCTTTCTAAGTTAAACCAGAAATCTAGACTTTTTAATCTCTCAGTTTTTAATGTGGACTATTAGCTTAAAAAAGTAAGGTCATGGGGTCATCACGTTGTGACCTCCCTTTACCGATTAGAAGAAACGTGACTGGGTAGAAGAACTACCCTGGAAGTCAGGGACCCAAGACTGGTAGATCCAGCTCTGACACCAACCCAGCCTCTTCCCCTGGGCAAGACATCCAGCCATCTGGGCCTCAGCTACCTTGTCTGAAAACTTCAGACAAAATTCCTTTCAGTCCCAGATGACCGTAGTATATGATTGTGTATGCTTTATAGATAATCAATTTCCACAAGAACCAGGAATATAATTAAAAGGAAAACAAAACAAAAACAAAACTAGATCATCGTTAAGAGAACAGGTTCTGTTATGTTGTCTAGATGTGGCCTTGGTGTGGCCCGGCTTCTCGGTTAATAAAACCACAATTGTATGAACACTTATCAGGCCAGATCTCCTTTATGATACCCACCCACTGGCTGCAGAAAATTTAAAGCATTTATCACCAGTACATCATGATGGTGGAGGGAGCATCCTCCCATAAAACAGAACTCTTTAGGGTCTCTTGAACCCAAACCCTAGGTTTCAAGGGAACATTTTAAGTCAGACCAAAGTTGGCCAACAGGCTGCCCTGAGCCACAACTCCTGCTCAGCAAATTCATGCCTGACCTACCTGCAGTGAGTTCCGTGGTCGCCACATCGTGGCCTCCTGCGTGAGCCAATTGTACCTGGAACGGCTCTCATTACGTAACCCTCGGCCAGGGCCCATGTGGGTACAGGGACACATGGTTTGCTGCCCTGCACAAAAGTACACAGGACTGCAGATACAGGACGCCCTGTTTTTCAGGGAGAACAGGGAAGGAATATTAAGCTGGGAAATAGATGAGAGGTGGGTAAATGAATGGACTTTTCCCACTGTAAAGCTGAAGCGAGCGTATTTCAGAGCAAATAAACGTGTTCACATTCTCGAGGGTGTATTAACTGTGCAGCTCGGGCAAAGCGAAGGCCCGAATAACGGAAACCCAAGGGAGTTATCGCTGGGCAGTGTCTTCGGAATGGGTAGCTTGGCTCCAGGGCAAGTGGCAAGGAGGGAGGTGCTGGGCACCAGCATTCCTAGGTGCTTTTGTGTGTTGTGAGCAGCAGTGCCTTTCTCTTTTGTACTCAGCAGCTGCCAGTCTAGTATGCTTTAAAGAACGAATGACCTTTGACCCCAAAACCAGACAATCTATCCCCTCAGTTCTATCTCCATTGGAGGTATCCTCCTCGCTGCGCTGGTACTGCCCTGGCTCCAGGTAACCAGCGTATTTATTCCGGAAGCCTGCTTGTTCTCGCAGGCTTCTTCTTGCCTTTGTGCCGTCAGTCCCCTCCACCTGGAAGGATCTTTGCCCTGTTTCAGTAGAGCCGTGCGTCCAGGCCACAACCTCTAGGGTGTCCTCTGAGAGGGGCCTTCCCGGACAGCCCCACGCCACGTGTGCTGTCACAGGACCCTCTCTACTTCTCTGCCAAGCACTTCACGCCACCTGATATGTTTCCTCTTTACTGCCTGCCTTCCCTAGGAGAAACTATGTAAAACTAGAATAAAAGCTTGCAAGAATATAAACTGTGTGGAAAGAAGCATTTTGTGTCGTTTGCTACATACTTCTAGCACCTAGAGCAGTGCCTTGTATATAGAAAATGTTCAAAAAATATCAGTTGGGGACATGGACTGTGGCATAGTGGGTAAAGCCACTGCCTGTACTGCCAGCATCCCATATGTGGGTTCGAGTCCCAGCTGCTCCACTTCTGAGCTCTCTGCTATAGCCTGGGAAAGCAGTAGAAGATAGCCCAAGTTCCTTGGGCCCCTGCACCCACATGGGAAACCAAGAAGAAGCTCCAGGCTCCTGGCTTCAGACTGGCTCTGATCCAGCTGTTGCAGCCATTTGAGGAGCGAACCAAACCTTTCTCAATCTTTCTCTCTCTCTGCTCTCTGTAACTCTTTCAAATAAATAAATCTTTAAGAAAAAAAAAACTATCAGTTCAAAGAACAGATGTATAGATGGATGGATGGGTGGGTGGGTGCATGAAAGAACTCAGTCAGCATGCATCTGCAAAGTGCCTGGGTGCACTAGGACTCTGAGGAGGATGAAGATCTTCCTTCAAGGGCCTCACAGTCTATCAGGACAGACAAGACATTTTTGCAGTGGGATGTTTGGGAAATGCTTAGAGCATGTATCACACTTCTACCCAAGGTGAGGATGAGGATAACCTCTAGGGAAAGATAAGAGTTAGCCAAGCAAGAGTAAGCAGTGGGGTGGCAGGTGCTGTCTTTGAGAGACATCACCACTGAGGCCCTGAGTCTTAAAGTCCAGCGGCTCTGGCAGGGCCACAAGCGAGGAGACAGGTAGATGAGCCTTAAAAGAGAAGCCTGGGCCAGTTCTGAAGGAGCCTTGTGGACCCCACTCCTTGGGCATTAAATTTTATCCTCTAAGCAAGGAGAGTTATTGAAATAGTTTTAAGGAAGGAAGTCACATAATGATTTTATGTCTTAGAAAGATAATTTTGGTGGCGGTGAATGCAACTAATTAGAGAAAAGAACAGAGCATTTAGGAGGCTGTTGTCTAATCTGGGCTAAAAAAAAAAGATGTAAAGGATTCAAACTATTAGTGGCAATGGAGATAGGAAAGAGGAGATAGATTTGAAAGCCATTAAAAGGGAAGAATCGATAGAACTTAGGGACACAAGAAATGAGGAAGGGAAAATAAACATGGGGCTCAAGCAAATTCCAGTTTCTGCTCCCAACAGTGGGAGAGACTGTGATGTTCTCTAATCCACAACCAACGGTTCTCGCATGCCAGGCTCCGAAGCCCTAAAGCCATTCAGCCTGTGATGTGGCTGCCTCAGAATCCTTGCTTACTTGAGCTCATGGACACTTGGCCCAAGTGGCAATCTCTGGTCCCAGTCCACATGTGAGTCTATCTGCCTGATGGGTGAATTTGTGCTGAAGCCCCTCTGACGTGTAGAGATCTGTTGCGGTAGATTTGTTCTGAGAGGAGGAGAGTGGTAGAGGCGAGTCGCAGAGTCACCACACAGACCCCAGGAGTTGGGTGAAAGCGGACCAGAGGTGAGCAGCCTGCAGACTCGTTTATTTCAGTTGGTACAGCTGCTTAAATAGCCAAGGCAGCCAATTTGGTCAAGGGGCAGTTTATGCCCTAACCAATCACAGCCTGTTGCCAGGCAGTATCCAAAGCCATCCAATCACAGCCTGTTGCCAGGCAGGCTTCGTATCCATGTGGTTTCCAAAGCCATCCAATCACAGCCTGTTAGCAGGCAGGCTTCGTTGCCAAGTGGGTTTCGAAGCCATTCCTGAGTAACTGATGCTCGCTTGACAGAAGCCATCTTGGCATGGCCTTCTCATTCCACCACATTTCTCCCTTTTCATTTATTTTTGAGCAATGGGAGGCATGATCCTTGGCCATACCATTGTTGACCCCGTTTCCATGTGGTCTCCGTACGCGGCTGTGCCTGTCTTAGGTTGTCCCCCAGGGGATCTTACCCGTCATTGACTAACCAGCGCTCAAAATGGTAGACCACAGGAGTGCTTGCTCAGATGGGGGTAGGAATGAGGAACAATGGTAATCTGGCTGGTATCCAAACGGGCTGTCCCGCATTCTCTGGAAAGACACAAGAATATCCTCGGCCCTTGGTTAGCAGAGGGTGTGGTCCCTTCCATTCTCCTGTCAGGGGGTCTTTCCTCCTAACCATAGGGGCTGGGGTCTGGGATGGAAAGGATCCCCAGTGTTTATAAGCTGGGCTGATCCCTTAGGAATCAAAAGTAAGAAAATTGATAGTGAAAAGGACATCAGTCAAAGCAAGCTGTGGGTCTGGGGGCATATGATTGTTTTTCTGTCTTTGTAAGAGATCTTTAATTGTCCTATGAGTTCTTTCAATGATTGCCTGTCCCTGTGGGTTGTATGGGATACCTGTGGCAGACTGTATGTTCCAGGATTTCAGGAAGGACTTAAATTCCTGTGATGTATACGCTGGCCCGTGTGCACATCAGAGCTGCAATGTGGATGATTTATCTGTTCATAAAGAGACACATGTTGTCTTGCTGCGCGGCCGTCCTTGCAGGCACACACTGATCCATCACTACAGAAGCATGACTATTGGTCTAAATATAGATGTGCCTGTCACTCCAGAGAAAGAACAGACCAAAAGTCATGGCTCCACTTACTCCAAGGAAATTTAAGGGGATAAAACTGGAAAACCAATGACTGCAACAGTTCTTCAGCCTATAAATCTGATCGACGGACCAAATTTGGATTCCCTCACCTACGTTTCATGTCTCTTGACCTAAACTGCTAATTTAGCACGCAGCCCCTCCTACAGCAGCCCCACCTCCACCCCGAGATCCTTCCAACAGTCCTCAAGGGGAGTCTGGCAGACACGGGAAGGCCAGCTCCATGGGTGCCCTTGGCCAGGCACCCTGTAGGGACCCCAGTTTGTTCTTTTTCTTCTCTGCCAGCTCCCACCTGCTACTGTCACTTGACAGGCGATCTAATGTTAAGAGCACAAGCTCAGGGGCCTGCCAACTTGGGTGTGAAGCCTGGCTTTGCCATTCTGAGCTGTGTCTACCTGGGGCAAGTTATTTTGCCTCTCTGGGCCTCATTTCCCCCATGATAAAGACATTATCCAAACTACCTCACAGGGGCCATTGTGATGATTAAAGTGGTGCATATTTACAAAGCAGTTAGAATAGTGCCTAGCACATAGCAAGCTCTTGATAAACGTAAGCCATTATTCCCAAGACCGCTGTTCCTGCTGGCCCTGAGAACACCTCTGGTAGGTGTTGCTGCAAAGTGCCGAGGCCATAGGAGCTCTGTGGCGTGATGAGGGACAAAGCCTTCTCCTTCTGCAATGTGATATCAAAGGGGCAGCAAAGCAGGACAGCTTATGTCCAGTGTTCACTGGAATCACCACTAAAACAGCTGTTTGCATTTTTACCGTCCTCTGAAGGGCTCAGACAAGACTTGAGTCCATGAACACCCAGGCTAGAAGACAAATGAGTGACAGACACCACACGGCCTCCCTCACAGCTTCGTTGCGGGGTCAAGTGGGTCCAGCCTGGCTCCAGCTCCCCTAGGATGAGCTCTGCCCAGGACACTCTTTCCACCGTCACCCAAACAGACTATGGAGCCACCCTCTGTCCAACTGCGCCCGGGGGAGATTACAGCTGATACCTGAGGAAGAATGAGACACCAGCTGTACTGTTAGATTATCTGTAAATGGGAAGCAAATATAAACTATAAAAGCACACTAAACTCAATTCTAAAGAGCAGTCCTAACATGGGCTTTTAGACACTTCATCAGCAAAGACAAACTGTCAATAGCTTTAATAGTAGGGCAGGAAGAAGAAAATGAAATTTTAAACTTACTATTTACATTAGCATCAAAAAACATCTAGTTCTTGGGAATAAATCTATGTAAAATGTGTGTAGTATCTCCATACAGAAAAGCATGTAACATTACTAGGAAATATTAAGAAACACATTAAAGAAGACCTATATAAGTAGAGAAATATGCTGTGTCGCTAGATACAAAAGTTCAACAGTGTATAGATGTCTTTTCTCCCCAAATTGATCTACAGATTTAATAGGATTCCAATAAAAATCTCAGCAATATAATATCTGGAAATTGGCAAGATATTTTTCCTTCTTATATGAAATGCAAAGGGCCAAAGACTAGCCAAAACGATCTCAAAAAAAACTAAAGTTGAAAGAATCATAGCACCAGATGTCAAGCCTGAGAAAATGACAGCAGCTGAGTCGGTATGCTATTAGCACAAGCTTCTGCCCATCAAAGCATAAAGGTACATGAGCAGACCTATGGGACCAAGTGGAGAGAGCGCTCAGAGGCAGAGCCACACATGTTCAGTCCTCAAATTCCTAACAAGATCCCACCACACAACAGGGAGGGAAGAGGATATTCTTTCAGTATGTTGTGGTACAACGGGACAGTCCACAGGAAAAAACAGTGAGTTGTGACCCTACCTCACACCAATCGCAAAACCAGATCCCAGAAGGACTGTAACATAAATGTGAAAGGCACAGCACTGAAACTTCCAGGGGAATACCCTCATGCCCTTGAGGACAGGGAATGACTTCTAAAGTAGGACACAAAAGGCACAAACCATGCAGAGAACAATTTCAACAAGAACTTCGGCTCATCAAGACACCATTAAGAGAATGAAAGCAAACCAAACTGTGGCAGAAATTTACATATAGCTCAAAAAAGGACTCCTATCCAGAATATAAAAATAATTCCACAAATCAGTGAGAAAAAAAAGCAGCAGTTTTAAAAGAGGAGGAGCAGCAAAAGGCTTAAAAAGGCACTTCATTAAGGAGAACATGCAAACGACAATTATTCACACACATAAATAAATAAATCGGCTCAACATCAGTAGTCAGCAGAGAGGCAAATTAAAATTACAATGAGATAGCACTGGGGTCCTGCCATTGTTCTGTTTCATGACCTGGGTGGTGGTTCTGACAGGTATATTCACTTAAAAAAAAAGAATGAAGTTATGTCGAAGGATCTATATACTCTTCTCTATATATTACACTTTAATAGAAAAAGGCTTACTAAAAATGGAAAGAGGGAGAATTTAGAAATACAGCAACCAAATGCAATGTGTGGGCCTTATTTGGATCCTGCTTCATACAAGCTGTTAAAAAAAATTGTGAGACAATTGGGGAAATTTGAACGCAAGCTGCACATATGATGATAATTAAGGGATTCATGTTTTAGGTGTGATGATGGCATTGTGGTAATGTTTTCATAAAGAGTTCTTATATTCTAAAGCTATATAGTGAAATAAAAATAAGCATATTATGGCCGGAGCCGCTGCTCAATAGGCTAATCCTCCACCTAGCGGCGCCGGCACACCGGGTTCTAGTCCTGGTTGGGGCACCGGATTCTGTCCCAGTTGCCCCTCTTCCAGGCCAGCTCTCTGCTGTGGCCCAGGAAGGCAGTGGAGGATGGCCCAGGTGCTTGGGCCCTGCACCCCATGGGAGACCAGGAGAAGCACCTGGTTCCTGCCTTCGGATCAGCGCGGTACGCCGGCTGCAGTGCACCAGCTGTGTCAGCCATTGGAGGGTGAACCAATGGCAAAGGAAGACCTTTCTCTCTGTCTCTCTCTCTCACTATCCACTCTGTCAAAAAAGAAAAAAAAAAGAGCAAAAAAAAAAAAAGCATATTATAAATGAAATACTTTTCATTCACTTCAAATGTGTCAGAAGAGGGAGGACAGATGAAACGCCGAAAAATGAGTTGATGGCTACTATAGCTGAACAGTAGGGGACATTAGAATCGCTCTATCATTCTTTCTACCTTTGTGAATGTGTAAAATCTTGCATAATAAAAGTTTTTTTAATCCAATGTTTTATAGTTTCGGCCATTTATGATTCCTCTTCCTGCTAATCAAGTAACATTGTGACACTGTGACAGTGGAAACCATAACACTGAACTGCTGGCTACAAAGACCTCAAGAGACCATGTTGGCCATACCCCCATTATCAAGCAGAGTCTCTGACACAGAAAAGAACTCAAACCCCATCTGCACACTGACCAGCATCGTGCCTACCCCCAGAGCAGCAGCCAAAAAGAAAACAGCAAGGACGTAGATACGGCAATCACATACCCACATTCTTTGGGGTGGATGCAACACAAGGCTCTAGGCAGCCTGGCTGCCCTCCCCAAAGCAGTAGACTCACAACAGAAGCTCCCCCAGCCTCGCCAAGCTGACTTCTCTGCCTGCCCCTCGACACTAGCTTATGTTCTCTAGCCTCGTCTCACTCAGGTAGCTGAATCTTCCTTTGCCAGCCGACTGGTCGCTGCTAAGGGAGTCAAGTAACCAGGTACGGATTCCCATATAAATCAAACCTGGCTCTTTCTTATTCCAGCATCCTAAACCGTTATAGGCCTTCACAGTTTAGAAACCCTCATTAGACAGATGCAAGTGGTTGCAAAAATAAACCTGACCAGGGCAGATGTTCGGTGTAGTGCTTAAGATGCCGCCTAGGACACCGGCATCTCATATCACAGTGTATAGGTCTGAGTTCTACTTCCAATTCCAGTTTCTGGTTAATGTGCAACCTGAGAGGCAGCAGGTGATGGCCCAAGTATTTGGGGCCCCAACCCTCACATGGGACACCCGCACTGAGTTCCTGGCTGCTAGCTTTGGCCTGATCAGTCCTAGCTGTTGCAGGCATTTGTGGAGTGAACAAGCAGATGGAAGATCTCCCTCCCTCCCTCTCTCTCTCTCTCCCTCTTTTCCTTTAAAACAAAATGAAAATAAACGATTTTAAAAAATAAATAAACCTGGCGAGGCCCCTTGACCTAACATGTCTCTCAGGACGTCCCCCAGGTTGCAAGCTTTCCTAGCCCACAAGGAAAGAAAATCCATTCATTCCTTCTTGCCCTCATTTGCTCATTTCAAGGTAAAGAGTCCTGGACAGAGAAAGCTCTGGGCTTCACCTAGCTTGGTGTGCTGTCCCCACCGGGCAGAATGGCTGCAAGGAGACAAGGACTTCTGCACCCTCACAAGGAGAGTGCAGGCTCCCCTCCCAGGGTTCTGGAGGAAGGAAGCCTTTCAGCATTCCCAAGGGGCTCACTTAGACGCAGGCTTCAGAGGTGAGAGGCCAAGGTCTCACATACACAAGAGGTGATGTTTGAGAAAGGCTTTGCAGGGCTCTTTCGACTCCTAAGGCAGTGCAATCAAGGACTACTTTCCCAACTTCCCCACCAGCCACCTCTGAGAAGCAGTGCAGAACCGAGGCTGAGGGCAGGGTGCTAAAGCCTGTGCTCCCAGCTCTTCCACACACTGGCACCAGGCCTCACGGTCTCTGTGCTTATTTATCACCTGGGGCCAATGACAGTACACACGTCATCAGCTGATGGGAGGATTCCAACAGCACACTGTGTGTAAAGTACTTCAATGCCTGGCCCACCCTGCTGACTGTTACTGATTTTGTGATGAGGGAAGCCCTGCCACAGTCAAAGACAAGGTAAGGATGGAACGAGTGGACATTAGCTGAAGCTCTGCAGCCAACCCTTGAAAGCACATCTATTTCTATGCCAGAGTATCATCAATAATTTGGGGATAGCCAAAGACATTCAAAGAGGTCAAAGCTGTGGCAGAAAGTGGACATCCTTATCTTTCAGAAATATATGAGGGTTGGGGCTGTTGCTGCGGTGTAGTGGGGGAAAGCCGCTGCCCACAGTGCAGGCATCCCATATGGGTGCTGTTTCAGGTCCCAGTTGCTCCACTTTCGAGCCTATGCTCTCTGCTATGGCCTGGGAAGGCAGTGGAAGATAGCCCAAGTCCTTGGCCCCTGCACCCATATGGGTGACCTGGAAGAAGCTCCTGGCTCCTGGCTTCAGATCAACTCACCTCCGGCCAATGTGACCATTTGGGGAGTGAGCCAATGGAGAGAAGACCTATCTATCGTTGCCTCTGCCTCTCTGCTACTCTGCTTTTCAAATGAACAAATCTTAAAAAAAGAAAGAAAGAAAGGAAGAAAAGAAGAAGAAATATATGAGGGAGCTGAGCTGATATCATGGCATAGCGGGTAAAGCTGCCACCTGCGATGCCAGCATCCCTTATGGACACTGGTTTGAGACCCAGCTGCTCTGTTTCCCATCCAGCTCCCTACTAACGTACCTGAGAAAGCAGGAGAGGATGGGCCAAGTACTTGGGCCCCTGTACCCACATGGGAGTCCTGGATGAAGCTCCTGGCTCCTGGCTTCAGCCTGGCCCAACCCTGGCCGTTGGGGCCATTTGGGGAGTGAAACAGCAGATGGATGATCTCTGTCACTCCACCTTTCAAATCACTCAGTCTTTGAAAAAAAAAAAAGAACAACAACAACAACAACAAAAAAAAACAAGCAAGCAACATATGAAACTGAGAAAGGCTGCTCTTACATGTAGAAATGTAAACCCCAGAAGCTCCAAGGTAGAACCAGCAAGTATCTCAGTCCATCGGCCTGGGTTAACCCTGCACCACACATCTAGGATCAGGAAGTCAGGAACTGTTTGGCTCCTTTGTTGCTAACAACTGGCATTCGTGGCTTCTCGGTTCATTTTTTCCCTAAGGCTACAAAGCTTCAAGTTTGCTTATACATTTAATATTTATTAAGTAATGCAAGTTTAAAATAAAAGTAACTTATCAAAGAAATCCAGAGACCCTTTCAACAATTTTTAAAACTTTTTAACTACTCACTCCAATTTTGAAGATTTTTTTCAGTTTTAAATGTCTAGACACCAGTCTAACACCTCTAAATGGGCTTCTAATTCAGAAAACAAATTTTCTAGTAATAATTAGAATGTGGTTGTTAGCATTCATAATGGTTTTGCCATTAAATATTATTTATGATTATCATAAAGCCAGAGAGATGAACAGCACACTTGAAACCAAGAACGAGGATGACTGCCCAAAGGGCCTGTTGTCTGTCCACGCAGGGACTCCTGGGGCTATTAATTATTTATCCACTTTTCAAAGTTAATAAATAGAAATGTCTTTTTGCCCTTTATTCCCAGATGAATTTAACCAAATGAGAGATGGAGGTGTGTATGTAGAGAGAGAGCAGCCTGAGGATGCAAGAGACACAGGTAATGAAAAGGAATTTTTTTAAAAAAACTAATATACTTAATGAAATACACATAACGTTTCATCTGGCATATTTTTATTATGATTAAGCGCTCATGAATATTTGGATGGCTTTTGAGTGTTCTTTTACAAACATGAGTGCTTCAAAAGCATAACATTAATACAGAAAAAGGAAGCCAAATTATTTCTAATCTTACAACCCAATAATCTCTACTGACTTTTTTTTTGTTTGAAGATTTATTTTATTTATTTGAAATGCAGAGTTAGAGAGAGAGTGGAGAAACAGAGAAATCTTCCATCCACTGGTTTACTCCCCAAATGGCTGCAATGGCAGGTGAGAGCAAGGCTGAAGCCAGGATCCAGGAGCTTCTTCCAGGTCTCCCACATGGGTACAGGGGCCCATGCACTTGGGCCATCCTCTACTGCTTTCCCATGCCATTAGCAGGGAGCCAGATCGGAAATGGAGTAGTTGGGACTCAAACCAGTGCGCATATGGGATGTCAACATTGCAGGTGGCAGCTTAACCTGCTACTCCCCAACGCCGGTCCTTGTACTGACGCTTTTTAAAAGTCCTGACGTATATTTAGAAGATATACAGAGTGCAGAGAGCTACAAACTGAAATAAGAACCTCCCTCCTTAGTATCTCAGCCCCTTCACTCAAAAATAAACCACTAAGTACACTTTTTTGTCCTACCAGAAAATAAGTCATGTATGCCCCACACATTCATTCATTTGCCAAAATGACTATCAGGCACGCTGCGTTCTCACATGCATTTTTCACTAACACACCCACAGCACTACATGCATTTCAGTGCATGGTTTTTACTGCTTCCACTTGGCTCTTACAATGTTTCAGCGACTGTCTCTGCACCCATTGTTCATGTTCTCTACGTGACCTACCACAAAGTCAGCGCAGCAAGTACTGACTGCTCCTAGCAGTCTAGCCCAGCTGCTTAGTGGGGAAAGAACAATCTCCTTCCTGTGGGTCATGCCACTGTTTTCACAAAGCGCCCCGGCCCCTGTTATTTGCACGCAGGAACAGCCTGAGATGGCTCCTGAGTGAAGGGTTGTTTTCAGCTGAGACGAAGGTGAGCCTGCTCACCTGTGAGTGTGTAGGCTCCTGCGGCAAAGCAGTCGGCCTCTCCTGCTCTCAGACCCACCTGGTGTGCCGCCCCTACCCTGCTCACAGGAGGGCACTGAATGCTCGTGGCATGAACGGAATGTTTGTAGAAGAGAGAAAATAAGCAAGCGCTGCGGAGACACACACGCAGCAGTGGGCAAAACTGCCAGACGGCCGTGCCCTTCACCCTCTCGGGGAAGACCAACACAAAACAGAATATTCCGAGCTGTCTGCCCAGAGCTACACAGGGGTGAGGCTGAGCGGCAGAGCTGGGGCCAGAGCTCGACCGTAGGTCCCCAACTCAGAAACAGCAAGATCAAAGCCATCTCACACCTTTGCCCTTGGCTATTTCAACTCCTTTTGGCAATGGGCGCAGATTTAAATTTATTTTGAAACATTTCAACAGAGTATTTTTCCAAATATTTGTCACATTCACGATCGCCTTTGACCCACACACCAACTCCACCGGACAGACAGGCCGGAGTCACTGGCCCCACCTAGAGGAGGAGAAGACTGAAGGGCAGCCCAGTCCGGCGACTTGCCCCTGGCCGGCAAGCTCACCGAGGACGCCGGCTCCCAGCACTGAGCTTTTCTGAGTTCTCTCTAGCCCGCTCAAGCCCGATAAATCCCAAACTAAAACAATAAAAATAAAAAAATACTAGGAACAGAACCAGAGATACAGAAATTAATACACCCCTCCTCAGAGACACCTGATATCCTGACAACTGACAGACATGTAATAAACTGAATATTGATATTCCGATACCAAACTTAAATCTTGGTAGAAGACTAGCAGTTTCCACTGGTTTAGAAAGACTTGTGGAAATCTGGCTTTATATTTTATTACAAATCTCATACTACCTCAACCTTTTAAAATCTGACAGGAGCTAACCTCCAGGCACTGCCTTGGACTGTGCTGGTGATCTGTCACATCCATTCCCTTCTTCTTGAGTCGCCTCCTAGTCGGTCAGGACTGGCTTTCTGCGAGTGTTTTGCAAACGTTTCTGAGAGCAAGCTACAGAAGGAATGTGTTTTACTTTGTTAAGCACAGACAGGTGTCTGTCACTGAAGCAAAGTTTCACAAAGTAATAATCATCCCTCCTCTGAGTGACCTACCTGGATATTCTGTCTGTATACTTCCCCAGGTCATTTTAAAAATACTAAATATGGCTCACTAAATTGATATCGTGGGTTGTGACCCACAATCTGAAAAACACTGGCTTCAACAAACAATACACAGATCCTGTCCTCCCGGAATGCAGACACTAGCTGTGAGTCTCACTGCACACAGATCAGAGACCTCTCAGAGTTGGAAGGCCTTAGATGACAGTGGATCCAGCCAGCACTCTTTACCAATTGCACAGCATCCCTGAGAGAGAGCATACAGCTGAAAGCTCGGCCTGCACTTTCTAGCACACCAAGTCACTTCTTACTTGGTCATACAGAGCCCTGCTAAAACAGTACAGAAGTTGATCCAAATGATTCAAATACTAAATACAGACTCAATTTGTTTTTCCCAAAAGACAACTTGGGCCTTTATCCCTAAGCCCACCTGAGTCTTTTCCAGGAGGAAGGTGAAGACAGAGGTGTAGCAATCCTCTCTGATGACTTGAAGAAGGGGCTTAACAACCAACAGCCTTCCAGATGGAAAGACCTAACAAATGACACTGGCGAAGAGGGCTGGGAGGCTGGAGTCAGGAACGGCTCCCTGGGGAGGCGAGAAATGGGACAAGGGGTGTGCATTTGGTGCAGTGGCTAAGATGCCCATGTCCTACCTGAGAGTTCCATGGTTTGATTCCTGGTTCTGACTCCTGACTCCAGCTCCCTGCTAATGCATATCCTGGGAGGCCACAGTGATAACTCAGTAATTGAGTTTCTGGGGAGACCAGGGTTGCACTCCCAGGCCTAACCATTGCAAATATTTGGGGGAGTAAACCAGCAGTTGGGAGAATGTTCTCTTTGTCTCTCTTCCCTTAAATAAATAAGTAAATATTTAAGAAAGGCAAGGAAAAAACAAGCAATTCTAGCAAGATTGACTGGAATCAGAAAGGTGGAGAGCTGATGGGAGGGTGTGGTCAGAGACTCCTGAGAAGAAATGAGCTCAGCACATTTAGGAGACAGTAGCAAAGGGTTCACAGAGAAGCTCAGGAAGAACAAGGATAGAATTTGGATCTGGGGGCCGGTGTTGCAGGTAAAGCCACCACCTGCAATGCCAGCATCCCATATGAGTGCCAGTTTGATTCCCGGCTGCGCCACTTCTGATCCAGCTCCCTACTAATGCACCTGGGAAAGCAGCAGAGGATGGCCCAAGTGCTTGGGCCCCTGCACTCATGTGGGAGACTCACATGATGCTCCTGGCTTTGGCCTGGCCCAGCCTTGGCCTTTGTGGCTATTTGGGGAGTAACCAGCAGATGGAAGACCTCTCTCTCTGTCTCTCCCTTTCTGTCTCTGTAACTCTGCCTTTCAAATAAGAAAATACATCTTTAAAAGAAGAATAATTTGGATTTTATATTGTAAGTAACAGTGTTGCTGAAGGTCTCTGGGCGTAATGAGTGGGATTTTAGAATTCCTCATCTACACGTGGACCTGAGACCTGGTTCTAAAAAGACCCAGAGTTCTTACTACAGGTTCTCAAGCTGTGTTTTAGTATACAGAAATGTGTATACACATGGACATCATAATTTCAGAATTTTAGTAAGAGCAGTCTTAGATACCTAAAAAGAAGAAAAGCTGGGATGTGCATATCAAGCTTGAACAGTGGCCGGCGCTGCGGCTCACTAGGCTAATCCTCCGCCTTGCGGCGCTGGCACACCGGGTTCTAGTCCTGGTCGGGGCGCCGGATTCTGTCCCGGTTGCCCCTCTTCCAGGCCAGCTCTCTGCTGTGGCCCGGGAGTGCAGTGGAGGATGGCCCAAGTGCTTGGGCCCTGCACCCCATGGGAGACTGGGGTAAGTGCCTGGTTCCTGGCTTCGGATCAGCGCAGTGCACCGGCCATTGGAGGGTGAACCAACGGCGAGGGGAGGACCTTTCTCTCTCTCTCACTGTCCACTCTGCCTGTCAAAAAAAAAAAAAAAAAAAAAAAGCTTGAACAGTGATGGCATCCAATTTCTTTTTCCTTTCATCATTTTATTCTCGTCAGTAAAGTGTGAGCCTTGTCTGTGGCTACCAGTAAGTGATTATTTCCTATGTAAAAGCCATAGACTTTATTCAGAAGCATCCTCAGGGTTGCTATGGGCCTACTAAATGATGAAAAACCATTCTTCAAAAATTAAATTTTGCCTAAACAACACCAACCCTTTTAATAATAAGGTTGTCTAAAGTTAAAAGTTAATATACAAAAAGGGATGTCGGAAGGTGTTAACTATCTAGTAATTCTGGCTCGGCTGGATACACTGACAGTGCCCTATGAACCTCAGCGGGCTCTCAGGTCTGTGTCAGGTGAATATAAACATCATTTGTGAGTCACCTTGTAATTACAGCTGCCACCTGGAAACATATTTAAGAAAGGACTACAAAGCTAAGTCTCCTGTAAGATCCTGCACTGGGCACCCTCTCCCTTCTTCCACTCTGAGAATCAACAGAACTCACTGGGCCTCCACCTGTGGTGCTGGCATCCCATACGGGCACCAATTCGAGTCCTGCTCATCCACTTCCGATCCAGCTCCCTGCTTGTGGCCTCAGAAGGCAGTGGAAGATAGTCCCAGTGCTTGGACCCCCACACTCACAAGGGAGACCCAGATGAAGCTCCTGGCTCCCGGCTTTGGATCAGCTCAGCTCCTGCCATTGAGGCCAACTGGGGAGTGAACCAGTGGATGGATGACTTCTGTTTCTCCCTCTGTAACTGTGCTTCTCAAATAAATTAACAAATCTTAAAAAAAACTCATTCACATAATTTTTACTATACGTCTAAATAAGAAAAGAAGACCATCTCCAAAGGCCTCAAAGTTAACCTGAGGAACACGTTAGAGATATAAAACGTATTAGTTGAGTCTATGGGCCCCCTCCCCGCCAAGAGAAACTACTTCAGAGAAAAATTCATTTACCTTGGGAGAAAATGTTTGTACGCTCAGGTCTGTACCACAGACGTGTGAACAACTGTTTGCTGGTATGCTCGATCTTTCCCCAGTGATGAATTCAGCCCTGGTCTTGCTGGCTGCATGCCTACCTCTACATGAACTGGGGAGTGACGGTGACACAGAGCCCCACATGCCACATAATCATGTCAAGCCTGAGTCTGCACTGGAGCCTGAATCATCCTTAGGATGCATATATGAGGAAACGGCTTGCTGCATGTCACTGCTTCCCGGCTGGACAAGTGCTCAAAGAACGGAGGCCCACGGGCGAAGTCCCTCCCCTCCTCCACACCCGCCGAGGCCTCTTCCTGACTTCTTGTCCCGTCAGACACCCCCACAGAACACTGCGTCTGCCCGGGACGCAGCACGGGTCTCATCGGCTCAGCATCTCAAACCTTCCGGGCTGGCCCCCGGGGGCAAGCAACCGTGTGGGGCACCCGGTCGTGGAAATTCTAGTTTTTCCACCTTAAAACGAGGAGGCCTGTTACCATCTAGCGAGTCACAGCGGCCTACCGCCACCCTGTGCCTCCAAGCTCTCGCCGCAAAACCCGCCACCTGCCCGACTCCCACCTCCGGCCCGCGACGGCGGGTCCGCAGTCGCTCCGCACACCTTACACTTGCAGCTCGCGCGGGGGTACACACGCACGCACGCACCCCGGGCCCGGGACGGAGGCCTCCCGCCGGCCGCCCGCCGAACCCGCCCCGACCAGGGCGCTGGGGCGCGGGCCCGAGCGGCGCCGAGGCCCGGCCGCGTCCGGGCCGGGGTCGGGTCGCGCCCCGCCGGCCCGCCGGCCCCCTCCCCTTCCACCCCGGCCTGCCCCCGGCGCACGTGCCGGGTGACAGGCCCCCTATAGGTTCCATACCTGCCACCGGAAGTGAGTGAGGAGGGCAGTATAGGCATTTCCTGTGACGCGAGCGCCTGGACTCCATTAGGCAGCAGCTGGGGGAAGAATCAACACACCAGGGAGCAGAGCTGAGCGGACCCGAGGACAGAGGCGGCAGCTGCCTCCGCTGCCGCCCGCCGCCGCCGCCGCCCGCGCCTGGGCTCAGCCCAGCGGCGGGCCCCGCGCCCCCGCAGCCGCCCCGCGGCGCCCCCCGGCGCGACCCCCGGGCCGCGCACCCCGAGCTGCCTCCGGGAGGGGGGGGGGAAAGGGCCCGGATCCTCCTTCTCCCCCTCCTCCTCCTCCTCCCCTCACCCCCCACCCTCCTGCCCTGACCCCCGCCCCGGCCCCCTCCTCGCCCCGACCCCCCGCCCCGGCCCCCGCCTCCCCTCCCCCGCCTCGCCCTACCGGCTTCCCACCACGGCCTCTCTCGGCGAGGAAACTCTGGCCTCCGCTTCCTCCTCCTCCGACTCGGACACCGGCGGAGCCTCCCCGCCCCCGCGGAAGAAACCCCGAGCCTCGGCGGCGGAGGGAGCAGGAGAGCCCGGGGCTTCGGCAGGCAGAGCAGGCCTCTCCCCTCCGTCCTCGTCGTCCTCGTCCTCGTCGTCGTCGTCGTCCTCCTCCTCCTCCTCCTCGGTGGTGGTAGTGGTGGGACTTCCCCCGGCTGCTGCCCCTGCCGCCGCCGTCCCCCACCGAAGTAGCGGCCACAGCCTGGTCAGCGGCAGCATCATGCAGGCCAACGGGGCAGGAGGAGGAGGAGGAGGCGGCGGCGGCGGCGGCGGAGGGGGCGGCGGGGGCCAGGGACAGACCCAGGAACTCGCCTGCCTGTCGGCCCAGAACGGGGAGTCGTCGCCCTCGTCGTCGTCGTCCGCGGGGGACCTGGCCCACGCCAATGGGCTCCTGCCTTCCGCCCCCTCCGCCGCCAGCAACAATAGCAACAGCCTGAGTGTCAATAACGGGGTTCCAGGCGGGGCGGCCGCCGCAGCCTCCGCCACCGTCGCAGCTGCCTCCGCCACCACGGCCGCCTCGTCTGCCTTGGCCACCCCGGACCTGGGCAGCAGCCTCAAGAAGAAGAAGCGGCTCTCGCAGTCAGATGAGGATGTCATTAGGCTAATAGGACAGCACTTGAATGGCTTAGGGCTCAAGTAAGTATCCGTTGTCGGCAGCTGGTGAAGGACAGACCGAGGGACGAGGCCCAGGCGGGCGGCGGCGGCGGGGGGCGGCCGGCCGGCCGGAGCGAGCCCTCTCTCTGGGTCGGAGAGGGAGGGTGACCGGCGGGCACGCCACGACCCGGGGCCCGGGAGGACGCGGCCCGGACGGGATGGGCGGTTGGGCAGTTGGGGAGGGCTGGCAGAAACCAAAGAATGACCCCTCCCCGCACACCTTCGGAGCTTAATTGTCTGTCAATAAAGACAGATGCGGGAGCGTGTCTGTGCCGCTGGTGGGGGAGGGGTGGATTAGAGCTGCTGGAAATAATGAACCTTGGAGGATTTGTTTTTCAAGTGTATCTCAGAGGCATCTTTGTGGGACACCTCCCCACCCCCAACCATGACAGACAACAGCCCAGGCAAACTACCAATCAGGAAAGACAATCACCTACAAGTGTTTATAGGCGCTGAGGGGCTGGGATCCTGTGCAACGGGGTCGTGGAATAAATCTGGTGGGGATAAAGAAGGAAGAGGCCGGCCGTATTGATGCCATTTGAGGGCCCATATGTGTACGGGAGGCCGCGGTTGAACACCAAGAGCGATTGCCTCTGAAAAGGGGACATCTGCTCTGGTGAATGGTTTGTTTTCCAAGGCGGTTTAGGTGGCCTGGTGTACCTGACGTAGGGGGAAGGTAGACCCCGACCTTGGCCCCAGACCACCGTGGTGGAGACACACAAAGAAAAACTGGGCCGTGGGGGGTGGAAGGTAGGACGGGTGGGAGTGCCCTGGAGCCCGGTGGAGGAGGTGCCAGAGGCAGAAGCAGAATGAGAGGAAGGAGAGGGAAACATGCAACAGTCAGTTTCCTAGCTTCAAAGTGCAGATTAAAATTAGCTCTCAGCCTGGCCACTGTGATTTTTGGATCCCTGGATTTGGTGGGGAGTGGGGAGAGGGACAACACTTTCACAGAGTGACATATTTTGATGTTCAGGCCGATCTTGCACACTATTTAGCTGAAAGATATGGCTGGGTGACCACAGACGCAAGTGTATGAGGCTGGTGAAACGGTGGTCCTTAAAGGCCAGAATAACTGATGGAAGAAACGACATTTGATGGATCTTTTCAGCTCTCAGAAAACTCGATCCGAGGAAGATTTTACTTTGCTCCCTAAGGAAAAGGATTAGTATGAAAGCAGATTTTGTAAATGTGAACAGAACTGTCTTAGACAAGAAGCAAGCCGACAGCAGCAGGAGGAAATAACTCGTGACTGTTTGGAACCTACACCATAGTAAATTTGCTATTTTTAGTATAGAGAGAAAGGAAATGATTTTTGATGCTGGATTTATTTTAATCTAAAAGATTGACCTATTAGAATTTCCATCTGCACGTAATACCTTGCTGTAAAGCTCTACCTGGCACAGGTCACCCCCGTCACCTGGTATGGAGCGCCCACTTTTTAGCTGTCAGATGCAGTGCTGTGGGTGGCGTATGGGTCCTGTCTTTTCATTTATTTGCTCTATTGGTTCCAACCCATTTTTAGAAGTTTTATACCCCTCAAACTCACTCCTGAGGCATTCAAAAGCAAAAGTAGGAATAACTTGTTTTGATTCTGGTTTCAAGGAAGGTTTTTAACATGGCTAGAAATACGTGTAAACGGCAGTTTTACATCAACTTGACTTAACCAAGCACATTAAAGCAAGTTTTTCCTTCATCATGAGGTTAGTGTAAAAACTTTGCAACTGTTTTCATAGACATTTAGTTTATTTGGAAGAGTAAAACCCTGAAGTTGGTCAGGTCTTTTTTACACTGTATCTCTCCTGCAGCCAGACTGTTGATCTCCTCATGCAAGAGTCAGGATGTCGTTTAGAACATCCTTCTGCTACCAAATTCCGAAATCATGTCATGGAAGGAGACTGGGATAAGGTAAAGTAGGGCATCTAGAGCTGTGTGACTGCTGCTAAAATTGTATATCTGATGTGCATTTTGTGACATTTCTGTTTTTCTTTTATACCAATTTTTGCAGGCAGAAAATGACCTGAATGAACTAAAGCCTTTAGTGCATTCTCCTCATGCTATTGTGGTAAGAGGCGCACTTGAAATCTCTCAAACGTTGTTGGGAATAATTGTGGTAAATACACTTTTGTTCTTAGTTTCACATTTATGCTTATTTTAGTAGGTTATTGATAGCTTCTAGGCTTCTGCCTCTTGTAAAAGATAAGGCCTAAAAGTAGTTACGTTGCATATAATTCAGTTTGTAAATTAGGATGAGTGTCTATGATGTTTTAAAGTGTGAATTTTACTTTTTAAAAATCACTCTTAAAATGTGTCATTTAAACCTTGTTAAAAGTTAAGCTCTACCAAGATTATGTTGAAAGATCTTCACGCTTTTGGTGCTGCTGATAGGATTTTTATGTTTATGGAGTCATGGATAAACTATACTTGTATATTACTTAAAATGTTCAATGTGCTGGTTAAAGAGAAAATGTGTTTGGAAGTGTGTATATCAATATAGGCCTTAGCTGATACATAAATTAACTGTAATTCCCAAAGATTTTTTAGAAAGATAGTTCAAACCAACTCCATTGGTGTGCTCACCATTTTCTGTTCTCAAATTGGAGTTGTGAGAATGGACAGTGTCAAAGTTTGTATAATATGCATTACTCTGGCAGAGGGTTTGTGTACAACTCTGCACGTTGGGCCTGCTGACTGGCCTTCTTCCCCTGACAAAATCAACCTCCTCCCTTAACCTGTTAGCCTTTTTCATAAAGCTTAATGAATCTTTTACACTGACGGGCTTTAATTCTTCAGTAGATGTTGCTGAGGGAGAGGATGGATCCGTTTTTGGTTAAGTGTTGGCAATTAGGAACCTCAGAGAGCTGGTGGCTGCAGGCTTTTACCTTCTAGCTGATTCATTTGTTGTCAGAAGCAGTTTCCTGTCTGGTGGGGGAGGGAAAGAAGTTGAGTAGGAAGTGAAGTAGGGAAACCAGTTGTTTGTTAAATATTAGTAAATGACTGTTAGTTTTGATTTTTTTAATTGGATCAAACATTAAGCTTTTCTACCCTTGTCTATAAACATAATAGAGTTTTTTGTTTTTTTGTTTTTTTGTTTTTTTGTTTTTTTTTGAAATCTCACTGCCAAAGAGTTTTCAAGATCTGTAGTTCTCTATAACATGATAATAGGGAATGGGCTTCAGGTAAATTAAAGGTGCAAACAAGTGTGAACAAATATGGATTCATTTAAACTGACAATCCAGCGTGTTACATTTATTCTTTCAGATTACTTAAGAATTTTAAGCTACTATTGAGTCAGCTGATTGATGATAAATTAACTTATGAAATAGTTAATTCCACAGTAAAATTTAAAAACTAAAAAGTTAAACATCTATATCCAAAGGGATTACACATTTTTTTAGTGACTGAATTTCCCCAGTCCATGTGTTTGGGGTTTAAAAAAAAGGAAAACAACTTTATTTGGGCAGTTTTTCATAAATTTTTAGCTCTGCCTGAATGAGCTAAAATCAAGACAGATTAAATGGCCAAAAATCAGAGTTGCGTTCCTTTCCATTGGGCAAGTTAGTACTGCTTGTCTAGTGACAGGCAAGAATGTGACTGTGGACTGTTCTAAAATAGTCTGTGTGATTTCCTAAGAGGTTGTTTTACTTTTATAAGGTTCATCCAAATTAATCAAATTTTGTAGTGAGAATTTTGATAGGTTCACTTAACTTGGGGTTTTTTGTTGTCATTGTTGTGTTTTGTAGTTTGAGGCTTCTGTATGAGATTTAGATTATGGCTGTCTTATTAGAAACTTTCATTAGAAAGAACATGTAAATTAAAGAAAGGTGGTTGTAGATAATAAGGAATCCTTTCTTTCTACAGCCTGCTCAGTTTGTAGAACATTCTAGCATCTAATGAAAGATGAAGATTAAATCTCTGCCTGAGCCTTATACCATCAGACTGTTAAGGTGAAAGGGTTTCCAACTTTTATCTCACTTAAGGCATTGATGAATCAATTGCTTTTAAAAGATTCAGTTCAGCATTTTTTGAAATTGCTCTTCAGTTATCTCGTTGTGTCTAAATTTGCTTCTCTCCCCACATCTCCAGAAGAAGACAGTCTAATGTAAGCTAAAATTTGAAATAACACCTTGGAAGACAACTATTTGGGATTTTTAAAACATAATTATTTTTAATTGTATGCCCACACACATTTGATGACCTAGTCTAGACTAAAATTGTACTTTATTTTTTAAGCCTGAATGTTCTATTGACCTGGTATATTCTCCCTAGCCCTCTGCTTCTAACTGGTTTCCAGTTAAGTGATACCAGGAATCACAGGAGTTGCTCTGGGTTTTCTGGAAGTTGAGCACATGAAACAACACTTTTTAGTTTGAGTTCAAAAAGACTTATCTATGTCTGAGCAGTTTGTTACTGGTCAGTTCTGTCACTGAGACCAGTAACAGAAAACTTTTATATATATAAAGGTGTTTGATTCTTTTATTTCTTAGCATGGTAGAAATAGGCTTAACAAAAATGTTCAAATACTGGCTTGACATAGAAAAATTTATATGTTTTGAAGTCAAGTAGGGGAG